TCCCCACACACGCACGCGCGCACACCCCCCCACTCACAACCTCCCTTTCAGAACAACCTGAAGAAGCTGCCTGCTACAGGCAAACATCAACCGTTAAAAATAAGGCCAGAAAGAGACAAAGCAACGAAAATAAATAGTTTGGCAACAAAGCAAATATGGCTGTTACGCAGAGGCCAAGTCTTGGTTTGAAACACCACATCTCCCTAACAAAAGGGGCCGCAAACAAAGTGAAACCTCTAACCAAGTAAAGGGAATTTTGCCAGCGGAGGTTTCCAGAGGGCTCTCAGCAGCTCCACACATTCCCCTTCCAGAGAGCACAGGGGGCACCTGCCCCGCTTGAGCACTGCGCTGGGGAGCGAGGGCTGCCCGAGCCGTGTGCCAGCTCCCGGCCTCCGGAAACTAAATAAAATTCAACCTTTTCTGCTCCTGAGCAAATTCAGACAACAACCGCTTTCGTCCAAAGCACAGGCTCTGGCAAGAGCTTGGCAGAGGCACAGCTGGCTCAGCACGCTGACCCCCACGCCTGCCGCTTGAGCTCTTAACCTACAGCACTCCGAAGCCTTCCTGAGAACGGCAGGGTCCATCTGCTCGCGTTTAACCTGCTGCTTCTCCAGTCTGGGCCAGTGGTTCATTCCCCGAGACAAACGCAAGGGCCTCGCACGGAGCAAGGGCGTCAGGAAGCCCCCGCGCAGCACCTGCCCTGAGTAAACGGTGCCCATTCGTGGCACATCCAACGCTGCAGCCTCGTGCTCGTCTCCTGGCGGGCTCTGTCACGGTTGTGCCTTTGTGCAGCTTCCCACAGACTGACTTCCACCCAGTAAGAAACTGGACCGTCTCCTGGGAAAGGGAAAAGAAACGCTCCCGCAGCAGCAGCTGCCCAGACTGCACAGCCCGCTGGGGGGTATTACGGTCACTAATCTGACTGGCACTTTTAATGTTCCTTTTATGCTCCCCCGGGGTTTGCTTTTAAAGACGATTTACGTGGGTGTCAAGTGAAGTGTATTGGGTCAGGCCCATCACCTCCTTCATCCTGGAGAAGTGCCCAAGAAGAGCCAGCCCTGTCTAGCCCAGCAGCTCTTCCCTGTAAACCTCTATTATCAGCTGCATCTCTCCAGCCCTCCAGTGAGCAGTCAGCTCCCGCGGAGCCGATCCACCCTCTGTGCGGGAAGGCCGCCACCTCCAGCAGCTCCGAGAGCCCCCATTGAGCAGTCCAGGGCCATGGCAACTAGGAGAGCTCGAAGCCAGTGTTCATGCTGATTGCGTAGCGCAGCTTCTCCCGCAGGATGCTTTTCTTGCTGTAGTTGGGAAGCTTGAGGAGGTTGAAACACGTAGAGGAGGTTGGGAGACGCCCACCCGGCTCTTTCTTGCGGATCGTGAAGAAGCCCCGTAGCACACTGCCCAGCGTGTCACCGGTGTCCTGGAACAGGGCGGAAACACATCACCCTTGCACTTCTCTGCTGCGCTCCCGCCAGGCAGGGCAGAGGTGCGAACGCAAAACCCATCTGCTGGGAAGAGGGAGAGTGAAACCTCAAAGCCCCGTCCCCCACGACAGCTAGAAGGAGCTTCTCTTGTAACTGCAACTGCCCCTACACGGGCAGCGTCCCTTGGCAGGGTGCAGAGGGGAACGGGATCAGAGGCACGGGGCACAGGGGGGCTCCGAGGAGAAAACACATCCCTGGAGACAAGCAGTAACAGCCCAAGCGCTGCTGTGTGCGGCAGGAGGTAGGAGCAGCCATATGCATCCTGTTAGTCTAAGGTTGCTTTCACCTTGCCCTATAGAGCATATATCTTTACGCCTTAGAGTTTCCCGGTGAGAGGTGAGGAAGCTGGGCAGGGAAGGAGGTCTGCCAGAAGCCTGGCAGGGAACGCACGAGACCCGAGCGAGCAGGGTGCCTACCTGATCATCAGAGACTTCCACGCAGCGGATGGAAAAAGGAGGCTTGAGGTAGGCAAAGCCCAGAAGTGGAGGCCTGGAGCAGCTGGTAACAAACTGAAAAAGCGACGGACAGTGAAAAGACAGCAGCAGTGAGAGCAGTCCGGGTATAACAGACATGCGGCTAACGCAGTCACAGCAGACAGCTGCTCGGACTGGCATTTGAGCACCCCGCGGTACAATACTGCTGAGCTTTAGTGCACAGCTCCGCTATCCTTTGAAACCAGGACTATTCATGGTGACACAAGAGTGTTTATAGAAACTCTGCTTCCACGGCTGCCCCTCTGCAGGGGAGCAGGATGTTGATTTTAAGGCATGAAGCATTCTGACACTCCTCCTACTAGTGCAGAAAGCACCCGGCTACCGGGAGAAGAGCAGCACTGGCCCAACCACCCGAAAGGGCAGATGAGGCTGAAATGACCATATTTACCTTGAGAAACATGGCCCTCTCCTCAGGGCTGAAGTCATTGGCTAGGATGTCCCACAGCCAGATAATGACCCGGTGACTCCCATGGAAGCCCCCATAGTACACCGTGTGTTTTCTGGGGAGAGAAAGTTTGTGACAGGTCTGTGCCCCGCCGCAGCAGGAGGGTCAGAGCTGCAAGTGCTGGAGGGATCAGTTCCTGCCACGAGTCAGGGTTCACTGCTACAGCCAACGCTGCCACTACTGAACCCCCACCAACGCTGACTGGGCACTTGATCAGAGAAAAGGGAAGGGCAGAGAGAAATTCTACGTTCAGGAACCAGTGGAAGAAAGGACCCTCCCATTCATTAGTACTTTGTCCCAATTAGCTTTAAGGAACATGTTCTTCAGGTCCATTCGTTTCTGTCTGTTCCTCAAATTTCAATTAGGAGAAACAGAAAGCTGAGGAAGAGACGGTCTCCTGCAAACCTCCGAACAGCTACGTAACAAAATGGCTGAGCGAGAAGACCAGCAGATCAAGTTGCTCACTTACTTTAAGTCCTCCAGGTCAATCTCGGCGTTGTCACCGGAGATCAGCCGCTGCAACTCTGGTGCAGAAAACATACGAATCCACTCAGGCTTAATGATCGACCTGAATCCACTGATGAGTGCTGCTGTCTGACTCTTGATTTGTGTGTGCATCCGGAAGTGAGCCATGAGATGGATGTAGCTGATCCTGTGTGTGACAGGGAAGGTGGCAGTGAGGGAGCTGGAGCAGCCAGGGACAACCACCTCGTTGGTACAGGAACAAGGTTGCTGGCCTGTCTCTCCAGCCCCAAATGGACTAGCGCTGCCTGGAGACGCATTGTACTTTCCCCTGCAGGGCCCTGCTCTTTATTTAAAGAGAAAGAGCTGTTCTTCTGCCCAGGCTTTGCCCCCCACACCCCGCCTCTGGGACTGCTTGCTCTTTTCTTAGAGCTTCTTCCCAACCCGGGGACTAACTGGCTCTAATAATCACTTGATCAACCTTGGGCGGACAGCAGCTCACAGAGGGGAGCGTGCATCCCACTCCTCTTTAAAGGATCCGCTCCCCAGTCACAGGCACTTCTCTAGGTTTGAAAAACAACCGCCTGGGCTCTGACACCGCCTGCGCTGAAACCCATGGCTGGAGAATCAACACACCAAAAAAAACACTTAGGAGGTTTCCACCTTCATCCCAGGAGTATGGAAGAGGTGCACTGTTTATTAGAGGGAGGCACCATCAGGCTTCCCCTTCTCACCACCAGCCGAAACAACCGAGCTCGCCGATTCTTCTTCATCAGCTCCTAGGCGGACACCACCACAATCACGCTGACTGGGTTTTCAGCTGGGTAACCTCACTCCACCGTTAACAGACAGAACTGTTTCCAGACTGCTTCCACTTAAAACGCTTCTCCTGCTCCCTCCCAACTACCAATTTCTGTACACATCTGCACAAAAGCTTCAAAGTTTCTGCTGTAAGCGAGCAGAGCAACATACAGGACTTTCAACTTTCTCCCTCAGCTGATTTCTGACAAGCCAGAGGAAGATCCTTTCAGATGCAAACTCCCTGGTCGGAGCTCAAGAAGGGAAAAGACTGAGAACATCGGATTGCAAAGCACGACTAACAAAGACAAATCCTCAGGTAGGATCCAGCTTTCACTTGCCATTAAAGAGAACAACCCCCAGATTACCAGTTCAAACACACATCTGCTTAATAGATATTTTATCCCGCTTTTATGATCACTGAAGGGTATAGAGAAGGAAAAAAAAATAGAAGGGAACAAAAAGGTGGGTTTGGTTTTCAGGCTCCGGAGTTGACATTTACGATAACTATCTAAAAGCCGGTTATCTGTGAAAATAGCTACAGGGCTCAGTGTCTCCTCTGATTTTCTGTGTCTAAAGTACGACTGTCGACTACATTTGAATTCACCACTGTCTCTTCTGAAGAACAGCGCTTTATACAACTGCCACATGTTATCATTCCGAGAAGATCTGTCTGCTCCAAGGTGTCTTTGAGCATCTGTGCCCTCTATGTTCACGACTGTGTGCCTGAATTGCTTTGAATCCATCTGTCTGTATCTATCACCGTCATTAAATCCTGCAGAATCTCACAGACTGTGTGCCTTTGACCTCCGAAGCGCTGTTTCAAGAAGTAAATTGTCAATTTTTATTTTGCAAATCGAATTTAATACAATTTCTGCCGATGAACTGTAACCAGTAAATTCTATTAAGATATTTATGTGCTCCTTCTACTCCAATCTATCTCAATTCATTCCAGATGCAAGCCCAAGGAACTAGAATAAAGTATTTTGCAGTGGTGACCTTAAAAATCTAATTGCTGTACTTACTTATTTTCATTGGTAACGGGAATGGTCTTCCCTCCAGGAACAAGTTCATGGCAAACAAGCTGAGGGAAGAAATGATTGTATTGCTAATTACTGCCTGGAACCACAATGGAAAGAAATGCCGCGCTAAGCTGTTACCTCCCCATAAAACATTTATTTTTACAATAAAACAGTAGGATTTAAAATTTAAGTAATAATCCTGCTTCTGCCTTGAACCAGTTTCGCTTAACTATTAACAGAGTAATTGAACAGTAGAGAACTCCGACTCTCCCACCAGTGGTGCTCGCCCTTCTTCGAGGAAGCCTTCTCTCTAGTCCGATCCATCACTGCGGAACTGCACGCAAATCAATTCAAAGAGCCCTGGGGGACAATCCCAGAATCCAGAGGCTGAACAAGCTCAGAGCCTTCGCGTAGCTCAGACTAACAGCACAATCTAAAGCTGTCTGCTCCACAGGTCTCATCTGGGGCCACCCGAGCGACAGAGCTCCCTGGAGTTCGCTGTCCCTCAAGCTGGGCACTCCAGGCACGAAGCCCAGAGCGCTCAGCAAGCGAGACAGCTGGGAAGTACCTCCTCCCAGCCCTGCCAGGCCAGGGTCTGCTGCTCAGCCAACAGCACCGCTCAGAGACAGCGGCACAGACCCTCCGGGTGCTTCCTACAGCAACAGAGTCGTGACTCATCTTTGCACCAACACTAAGAGGCAGAACATCATTATTCACATATTACAGTGGCCTCTGTGCTTCCGTTCCAGGTGACTTCTGAGGTCAGAGTGGAGCCCAGCCCAGGGAATGAGCTAACTCCCCTGTGCCGAGCACCGTCGTACCTAGCAGGGACACACAAGTTCATTCAAGGAGCAACAGGGTTACTCCACCCGGCTGCTTCAGCGTGGCCAAAGCACAAGGCAAACAGCAGTCCCCCGGTTTAGTTGGCAGTTTTGAGCACTGCCGCCTTCAACGTCTCACTGCTGAGCTCTCATATGCTGTTTCCTACCTTCATTTTTAAGGTGGAAAAAACCTCAAGGCCAAAACCTCAGCAACCCTGAGGCAGCAGCAAGGTGTTCAGCCCACTGCGCAGCGGACACAACCTCTCATCCATGCGGAGCAGAGCTGTGTCAGTACTCAGCTGTCTTCCCACTCACCCGCACGGCTTTGCAGCTGCAGTTCCACTGCTCTCGCTGCTATCGGATGTATCCAAGCCAGGTCCAAACGAGCCAGCTTCGGAGTAAGAAACAGCAGCACGCAAAGCTCTCGAGGACAGGCTGCCCCAGATAAACACTCCATGACTTAGTGGTCTCTGAGCTCTGGGCCACTGGATCTACACGGCTAACAGTGCTCAGGCTTAGCGCTAGCCGGGGTCTCCCCGCAGAATTCGCAGCAGCAACAGCACACACAGACAGCGAAGGCATTTTTATCTTCTCCATCTGTATTTTCCAGCTATGCGCACACAGCGTCACAGAACCAAAGGCACAAGTGCAACCAAGAACCTTCAAGCCTTCGTAAGGGACTGACAAACAGCCTTTTCTTCTCAAGGCCAAGAGACCTCCTGACACACTTCAGGTTTCTCTGATGAAAAAGGCTACGTTTAAAGAAAAGAATTCCTCCCTACTCACACAGATTCTTATTTTTAAAAGAGAGGAAAACCAGCTACACAGGGAAAGCAAAGAACACTGTTTTTTAAACAGAAAAGAAAAGAATCCCGGCACTAGAAAAAATAAGGGTCAGAGGGGAACCTTTTTGTGGAAAAAGCTGTTCTCTGCCCACAGCTAAATATTGAACGAACCCGCAGAATCCTATGGCTGAGTTCAGAGAACCTCTGAAGCTGAGCCAACCTTTCAGCACAGGCATTATTTTTGTAAAAGGAGAGCAGAGCTAAGCCCTAACCACAATCAAACACAAGGTCATTTACTAGTCAGTCCCCTCAGGATTCTTGTTCAGATGGGCCACACAGAGCATCCACCTGACACGCTCAGAAACACAAGCACCGGAGTAAAAAGCACTCCGTGTAGCATGAACTTGGACAGACTGCCTGACTTTTAGATGCTCAAGACCAGCTCTCAGAAAGCTCAGCCGAGAATAATAGCTGTCTTCTGCTGGCAAGTCAGACTGCAGGTGTATTTCTCTGCTCTAATGACACCCGTAAAAGCCAGGACACCTCTGCTCAAGAGTCAAACCTAGTTCTGCTGCCAACTGCTTATATTCACAGCCTGCCACTTCTGGCACCACAGGCTTTCCCACAGCAGTGAGCAACAATCCTCGGGATCCCTCTTAGTGCCTCAACGGCTCTTCCTGGTAGCATCAGCCAGGGAGACGCTCCTGTGCGGAGCAGCTAGGATCTACCCAGGAGAAACAGGAATTGCGTGAGCCAGGGCTGCGGGACTCTATCAGTGCCCAGAATTCTGCTCGTCACCACCCAGCACGAAGAGGGTGTTTGGAACAAAGCAGAAATGAAGTCCAACACAGTCACTGCGTAAAAACCTACCTGACCCATCACATCTTCATCGTAGGACAGCGTTAAGCCCAAGTCACTGATATCACCATCATAACGCTAGAGGAACGACAGAGAAAGGGAAAAGAAGGTCAGTGTTCAGCAGCAGGAACAGCAGCTCTGCATTTTTGTATTACTCTTCCACTAAGTGATCCCCAGCAGGCACGAGGCACCAAAGCACAACAAATACAGGAGTTGCTCCAGGTTATGGGGAGACTGCACAAGAGCGAAGGCTAAAATTTGGGATTTCCTGATTGCCGGTTCCAGGTTTACACCTTCACACTCCTTTTTCCTCCCTGCTTGCCCCAGTAAAAATACAGAACAGCCACCTGCCAACCCGCTTCAGAATCACCAGTTACTTCCAGGGTGTTTTTAAAGATGACCAGTACCCCAAAGGCATTTGCAAGTCTAGTATTTCTAGCAGCAGCCAGCGATAAGGGAATTGAACAACAGGAAAAGTAATGCACAAACCTTAATTGAAGTGAGATTTTTATAGAACTCAGAGTCCAAGGAGGGAAGTTCATCTACGGAGCTGTAGAAAACACTGTGGTGGTGCCCAAGTAGCTGACTCAAAAAGAAGGAAGCAAACGGTACATCCACAACTATTCCCTACGGACAACAAGGACGCACGGGTAAGGTACCAACGCATAGGTAAGGTCCCGCTGCATACTTGTTATGTGCAACATCTGGTTACCTACGAGGTCTGCAGGCAGATCATGTGTTGTGGAGTAAGAAAGATGCAAGACATTGAAATCAGCTAAGAAAACCACATCCTCTTAAAATCTGTTAATTAGTGGAGCAGGTGCAGAAAGGCAACAGGGGAACTCCATGTTTCCTTTAAAAGAATTACCTTACATGGAGAGGGTCATTCCGTCATCCCATCCTCCTTTTAGCTACATGTCACTTTAAGTAAGGTATCAAGAAATGGACACTTGTAAGGCGTAACACCGAAATAACAGACTCCTCCAGCTAGCGTCCCCAGCACCAAGAAGAACAATCAAGGTATGTCGCAGGTTTTACCTCCGAGATTATTTTTAATGCATGCCTGAAGAAGTGCCAGACTGCTCCACCATCAGTACCTTTATCCAAGTCATTTTTAAAAACTCACCTCTTCACTAACACCTCCCCGAGCACAGGACAGATGCTCTCAAGGGCAAGGGGCACCATCACACAGCTGCCCCTGAACAGTGCTACACCAACAGTGACAATATCCCAATACGGTACTTTTGGCTCACCTCGTACACAGCCTTCCCAAGCATCTTCCCCACAAACTCGAAGAGCTGTAGGTAGTTCTCATGAATGTAGGATGTTGGGGATGGATACAGCCTCTCATCACCACTGGTTGTCTGCACACAAACAGAGGTAACAGCACAGTGAGCCAGTCTGTTTCTCTCTGCAGTGGGTCATCACGGCCAACATCTGCAGTCCTGCGTCACACCTTGAACAAGTTGAGTGCGGGGTCAAACACCTTCTTTATTATCTCTTCCAGAAACTCTTTGAAGACACCATCTTGATCAATACCAGCCTCATCGACACCCAGATCATTCACAAACTTCACTCTGATCACTCCCTTCATGGCATTCTGGGAAAGCTGCCGTAGCTGTTCATATCCATCCTACACACACCAGAAGAGGCAGAGGAGAATCATACAGGAAGACACGTGAAACACCCACGCAGACGTGCAGCAGAGACAGGAGACAGATACACCCCAGATATCTGCATTTGTCATTGAATTTCATGTCCAAAAAGACCGTCATTTTTCCTGGTCAAAGCTCCAGGTTTGTAGCAGTCTGAACTGAACCAAGGGCCAGCATTTTCCTGTAACATCAAGCGGGCAGAACTGGCACTGGGTCCCTCAGCACCCACAGAGAAGGTAACACCATATTCACACCCCATTCTTGTCAGGTCAAGTTACTGACCTGTTGGTTGACTTCGGAAAGCCAAGTCACTCACCTCCAGCATACGTGAGCGGCGGATAGTGATGTGTGTGACATGAGGTGATGCAGAGCTGGTTTCAACCAGCCCAAGCTTCTCCTTCTCCTTTGTAACCATGTTTCGGAAAAGCAGCACCCTCTTAAAAAGAAAACAAAGGTAAGTATCCACAAGGATCCTTATCCTCCAGTGCAGCAGTGCTTTCAGATGCTCCCGACACACACCCAGAACCAGCTCTTGGTTGTCCCTTTCCCAGCTAGGCTCAGTGATGCCACTGTCTCCTGCTCACTAGAAATAGTGGAATCTGACTCCTTGTTTCCCAGTGGGACAGAGAAATCCTTGAATCTCTGCTTCGGGAGGGACAGGGTACTGACAATACTGAAAATAAAAGCGTATTTCCTATCATTACATAAAGTTCTGTCGTGTCTGCAGATTTGCTACCTGCAAAAAGACATTCTGCTTTCTGCATAAAGACTTTCTCCAAAGCCACATCACGCACTGCTGGCTGACTCCATGCAGCTGCCCACACAAATAAGCTCTCTCCCAATGAGAGAAATCAAGACAGTTTAGAAGAAAGATATCGGGGAGAGTGGGGGAAAGAAGAAGACTTTTGTTTAACTGGCATTTCAATCACAAGCTCCACATCACAAAACGCTAAAGACGCATGTCCCTTCCATCCCAGGTCACCCAGGTTGCTGACTTTTTAGCCTCCATCCTCTGCCCTTGCCCCACTCACGTTCTTGTGGGGAATGACGTGCGGGATGTACTGCAGGAGCAGCTGGGCTCGTTTCTTGTCCTTGTCCAGCTCCTGGAAGAGCACGCTGGGTTTGAGGTCCCTTACAAAGAAAGGCACAGATTCAGAGATCCCTGAGAAATGCCCAGGTGTGGTAAATAGCTGGGGGTAGGAGAGAGAGGAAATCTGTAATGATTTCAAAGACGATTTAAGTGCTCAGGTGTATACAATCTAAGAAGGCCAGAGACACTCAAGCTGTTGGGTGCTGAGTCAGTTTTCAAAGCATCACCCTCCTGCAGCAGCAGCTAATCCTTACACCGCAGAAGAGAAGCACAATAGGAGAGGCGTCCGTAAATGCAAACAGAGGGAGCAGCTCCGACCTTGATCTCACAGGTAGCACGAGAGGCACTCAGTGTAAAAGTAAGGGATCCCAAAGCAGCCACCCACAGGGGAGCTGGTGCAGTGGGACAAGCACACAGCTGCACATGACCCTCGCCTTGAGCTGGACACTTACTTGCGTAACCAGTGGTCTTCGGGAGCAAAACGCCTGCGGCAGTCCCTTTCATACAAGACCATGAGCCAGCCATGGACAGAATGAAACAGCTCCAGGGTCTCCCCTCTGGCGTTCTCTGAACAAAAGGAACAAAGCAGCAATGCCCAGGCACCCTAGGTAACAGGAGTGTCCAAGAGCAACGTGTTGATCATCTGCCCCACACTAATACGACAGGTGTATTTCTCCTAAACCTCCACTGGCTTCAGAGGGAAGGAAGAGATTTCGCGCCTCCCAGAAGAGAGACAATCTCTTCTTCGATCAAAGTGAAAAAAACTCTTAGCCACATCAAAGCCATCTCAGCCAGCTCCAACTGAGCCATCACAACAGAAATGGACTATCTCATCTAATTGCCAGAATGGAGCTGTACCCAAATTACACCAGCATATAGATCGACACTAGATATCTACAGAGACACCAGCCAGCCTGCTCTGCTTTGTCAAAGCACTACAATTCATTCTTGTCCAATACACGGCCCAGTCACGCTAAACTTAAATCTCTGGCAAAAACCAGCGTGCCCATTGTGTCTGTTACACAAATTCCTATTGGAAAAAGGAAAAGTGCACCATATTTGGTGCCAAGCACAATAGTGGCATCTGGACACCAAAAGATCGGGACATATTCTCAGTTATTCTTTGTGCAAAGTAATAATTAGCAGAAGCTTCAAATTCTAAAAGTAATGCCATTTTTTGTTCTAATAGTAACCTCAACTCAAGCTACTAAAAGCACTCACCTACAATTCCATCCCAAATCATCTTAAATACAAAGGAATTCAGAAAAGATGAGATGGTAACAAGCTCTTCCAGTTTGAATGAAATCTGCTCTTCATAGACTTCTATGTCATCAAGAATCCTATCAGAGAAAACAAATGCAAATGCACAAGTGTAAATTTAATTCCCTTTTGAAATTTTCATAAAGGCACATTATCCTTCAGCAGCAGCTCTTATTTCTATGACAACTGACACCCATGAGGATCTAAAGTCATAAACAACTACATCTTATTTATTGATTTTGATCACTATCCGATCCTAACAGAAGAGTGTGAAAGGTCTGAGATACAAGCAAAGCCAGTATTTGGTAGATAAAAGGACCTGTGCACTCATCCTCGAGAAAACTTTTCATCATTCAAGCTAAGAAAACTGTCTCTACTGACCAGCAAAGGCAATTTTCCACTCCCTCTCCCATCCTTTGTGTTGTGTAAGTCTACGAGAGAAAGAGCAAAGTAGTTCTAAAGAGAAGTACATAAGCTGGAGAGCATTTTTGCCGCATTAGTCTAACATTGTTCCTTGAAGCTTATCTGGACTCATCAGTGTTTTCTTTGGACATTGTTGCCCATAAGGAATAGAAGAAATGTTTCTTCCCCCTCCATAGCTGGTGCTGTAATATTTTGTTACCAGCTGAGCCATCTGTATGTTCCTGAAGGCGCACATGGCTGAAGGAGAAAGTCCTTTTGAAGTCCTTTATTCCTCAGGACTCCATCTGAAAAGCTTGCTGCTTTACTCTGCCTAGTTATCTTTATGCAAAGACAGCAATACCTTAACTATTCCTCTTGAAACTTGAGGAACACAACAGCTTCACATTACAAATCTAGAGAGCACCTTCTGCTTGCTACCTACGTGATAAGGTGGCGGGAGCAGTCACAGAAGAGCATCAACATGGCCAGCAGCCTCTTGGATTCCTCCGTATCATTATTCAAGCACTCCAAGAAGAGTTTTAACCCGCCCTGTGGTCCCAGCTCACAGATAAAAGCCCATAATTTGGGCAACAGATCATCCAGGTAAGTGAGGCCTGGCAATAGGAAAAGATAAAGCACACTCAGTAAAGCTCGATCTGCCTGCGTGTTCGGGCAGGCTCAGAGACGAACGTGACCTGGAGCTGAAAGATCCTTTTGCAAAGCAAGACGTTACTGGAAGGGAAAATAAGCATCACATTTGGCTCCCAAGCCTGTCTGAATTAACAGGAAATGTGGAATCACCAGGAAAGCAGAAAAAAGTTTTTAACGAGGTATTAATCTTTTGCACATCTAAAGCTCTATCCCGCTAATTATTCACAACTTTAGAAAAGAATTAATTCCTGCGATCCAATCACCATTCCAGCCACCTTAAAGATAGGAACACAAAGCATGGTTGGTAAAACTACCAACAAGCACCTGTGGTCACTGCCATAGCCACAAACAAAGCATCTGAGGCTCTGGACTCATGCCTCTGCTCTAGCCACTAGACCAAAAGAGGGCTTATCTCCTCCCCCATCCATCCCTAAGACAGGTAATTTGTTCTTAAGATGTATGAAAGCATTCAGTGTTTGCATCACATAAAGATTAATATTGCCAGGCTTCTCAAAAACACTGACTCAGTCTTAAGCTTGATATGGAGTAAGCAAGGTTTCATTATAGGAAAACTCGCTTCAATTTGTATTCTGGAGAGTTAATGCTTGATAAAGAAGTGATGAATGTTATTGATCAGATGTATGATTCAGGATGGAACAAGCCTTCCACCCAGCCAGTCAATAAACTGTTGTCAGTAATAAAACTACCAACAAGTCAACAGAATTTAATAAGAAAAATCTATTTTTTCTCCACAATTTAAGTGATTTGAAAAGCACAGATGTGCCCTGACCTGTGAGTATCTGCAGACGGATCTGTGTTAGCGTTGTAAGCGTGGTTTGGTACAGGACACAGATACTGCACACCTTCTGCACTTCTGCGGAGTCCACTCGCTTGCCCCCAACAGGCTTGAGAATGTTGCGGACAGATGCAGACTTCTGGAAAGCTCTCTTAAAAAGATCTGGTGACAGAGAAGCACATGAGATGTTGGCTCAGGAGACAGAAGTGCTATTCCAAACCATTTCTTACTCTCAGCCACTTGGCGGCCATGCAATAAGGAGGACTTTAAGCAGACTAAGTCACTCCACAGACAGTCGGTTTTGGTGGACTTTTCTGGCAGAACACTGTACAGCTGCCAGTAATGCAGAAGAGTATTTCAGTGGGGGCATTACTCTAGAGCTTAAAACCTTACCACTACTGCAGCAACTAATGACCGCAGGATCTAGAGCTATGGGCAGCAGACAGAAAATATCTAGATTACAGCTGTCTTATTCCAACTACTCTTCCGCAGAATCCCCACATCACAGATCCACAAGCCAGCTTCACCTCGCTTTTCACCTGGGAAGCTGGCCTCCCGTCTCGCCTTGGGAACTACTAATTTATGCAGTAAGCACTTCAGCTACTTGAGAAACAATGAGAAAAACTGCTAAAATAAGCAAATATTTTCACAGCACCAACGTAGGAGACTTGCCCGAGGTCACAGAGGCATTCTGAGCAGGAATTACAAATAGGAGAGACCACATCCCCACCTAAGCAGCAGCAGCTGCTGCAAGCAATTACTCAAAGGTTTTAGGGTAAGAGGAAAATCAAATCCCTGTGAGTCCGCAAGAGAGAAAAACACGGGTACACACACACACAGAGGGACACAAAAAAAGCAACCCTCCAGAACTGACTCTTCATAGGAAGGCTGTTCTGCGGGGAAACCGGCTGTGTTGGCAGCTGAGCTATTTCCTGATTCTCCAGCAATTTCTTGCTGAGCACATCACTGAAGAGGATGCGGATCATATGGACTCCCCAGAGATGCTGCAGTTGCTTTGTCAGCAGAGGCATGGACTCATTCAATCTAAAAGACAAGGCAGAGAGACATGTTAGAAGGCAGGCTGGAATAAAACACCAGACAGTGATACTCTGATACATTTAGCTAATAGTCAAAACAGAGTATGCATCCACCCTACAGATGGTCCTCACAGGAAGAGCTGATATACAGGTCCTATATCGAGTGTACCAGTACGGCCACTGCTTACCAGTCTAACTATACTAAACAAATTTCCTCATGTCATAGACTGTACACGAATGCAGCAGTTTACACTGTGCAGATATAATCTGAAATGTCTGAGAAGTTATTCTGAATAGGGTCACACTGTTTACCTCAAAATATAAAACATATTGCAGCATTAAAAAAACAAAGGAAAAAATAAAGAGAGGCTTAATCCTCTACCACCATGGGGTCCTCCCCACTTACCCATAATCCACTGTCTGCGAAAACCAGCCTAGAACAGGATGCCAGTGGGTGAGGTTGGATTTCTTTTGTGAAACGTACTTCTGGCAGTAGGAGAGCATGTGAATGAGCACACCCACAAAATGAGCCGTCTCCTCCTCGAGAACTTTATCATTCAAGGAGCCCAAGTATACAAGATTACCTGGTGGAATGACCAGCACAGCAAGACTTAAAAGAGGAACAGATGCTGTGGGACAGCGGGTACAAACACAATATACCAAACAAACTCACACCCCTTTTCAAGTCCAGGAGAGGATTTCTGTGAGGAATGACTATTAGAGGCTGCCCTGCAGCAAGCCATTTCCAGCACACATCAGCCACTGAGGCGGCATGTCACTTTGGCAGCATGTCACTTTGGCATCCTCCTGCAGCCTTCTCGGCTGTATCCCACCAACACCTTCTACAAAGTACTATGAGCTACAGACGACTTATGGTTACTCCCGAGTTCCAACTGTTCCTCTTGTTACTTTTACAGTAATGTAAAATATTTCAGTAGCACAGGCATTTAGGGAAGTTAGATTCAAATCTGCTACACCGCAAGACTTTCTCAGATTCCAAGTGAAAAGCTAGTGGAAATAATATTTCACAGTTTAGGCATGATGACATGTATACAAGAGCAAGCCTCTGACCTTTCCTCCCTTTGCAGGGCTTTAAACCATGTTTGCAATATCCCAAAATATATCTCAGTTATTATTTAGAAACTATCTAAATAAGGATAAAAAACCCCCGATGAGTTGGAGGCAGCTCTGACCCATGGAGAAAGAAGATCTGACTCAAGACACTCTTCCAACACAGTAAAAAAAAGAAGCATTACAGGTGCTCACCTAACAAACAAAGAGTGTGACTTCCTTCCAGGCACACGCAGACATCTCGGCATTGTGCTTCACGACTTAAAAATAGGATGAACTTGCGAAAAAGACCATGAGATTCTATCACTGCCAGACGCTGAAAGAGAGAATTTAACTGCCAGTGAGGCTGAGAAACTCCACACAGAACAACCACACCTGATCTGCCATCAGCAATTCAGATTGTCTTTTCTTTCCAAATAAAGCAGCAAGTTGAGACTGTTGCACTGAAGAGAGAGTTTAACAGGAAGCTGGTGTGGGACATAAAAAAACCCTGCAGGTGAACAGGCCACGCTCTAGTTGTACACAGACCTTTGCAACCGTCTGTCTGCAAGAACACAGAACGCCCATTTGGCACAAAACTTGCCTGTCTGAACCAAGCTGCACAGGAGCCCTCAAATTAAATTAGATTAGCGGACAGCCTACTAGTCACCAACACAGATCCTTTGCCATGCAACAGACTGATTTTTGCTTTGGATCTGTCTATGGTTACACCAATAGAAGAATAAGGACATGCAAAAATTCAAGCTGTGCGTCACATATGCCTGTATTTTTATTTTTTTAATTTTTTTATTTATTTAGGGCAGTTCAACCCACCATCCCACTGGTATTAGAAACCCAGAGTATCTGGAGGGTTTAAGGATCAAGCGCTTTCACAACGGAAAGCTGAAACTGGCAACAAGAGAAATGCCAATGCTCTGTTCCAAGCGCTGATAAAATGGAGTGACAAGTGGCCTTATGTGATATTCAGTGGATTTTGGGTACTATTACATCACCCACTTACCTCAGGTGTTAGAGTAGCAAGATGAGTCATTATAGCAGGCACAGACATGATATGGATCAGAAACGACCTCAACAGATTGTCTGAAAACTGCGCAGCAACCACAGGGCTACAGAGAGAAGAATACTTCAGTGCAAGAAACCCGACCTAGCAAAGTAAGACGCAGTCTTTAACCGAGCCATTCCGAACTGGCTCCTGATTCTACCCTCGCCAAGAAGCATCACTGGAAAAAGAACTTCTTCACTTACACGACTGTTATCATAGCAAGTTCACAAAATTGCTTATGACTCAAAGGAATATAAGCCAAACTGTTCACAGCATAATGTATTTTTACACAGCACAGAGCACTGTAAGCGCTATGCGGTTCATCTCCTAAGTTCTTCTTTTCCCCATTACCATGAAGTCAGTAATTAAAAAGTTGTCTTCCTTAGGAAGATGTTAAGTGACATATTCAAGGACATCCACTACTACTCTACTGAATGTCACAACCTCATCGTCCCAACAGTGACAGCTATAGAAGGGACGTGGCACACAATTAACTACTGAAGTCTTAGAAGAATACTTGTTAGTGGCTGCAGATTTCCAGAGTGAAGAGGCATGGGCTCTGCAGAGGGGAGGGCGGGGTAACAGCATACTTTTCTTATTTTTAAGAGAACAGACTGAACCGTTACAAAAGTCTGCACCCAACTCTTGTTTCACAGACAAACTTTGCCTCTGGAAACTAAGTAACAGGTACATCTGCATCAGGAGCTCATCGTGAAGAGGCACAACCATACTTCTAGAGAAATCCAACCCCTTCTGATGATTCAACAGAAAGACATACAGATGCTGCACTCCAGAGTCTAGGCTCATACTAACACTAACTACTGACTCAAGAGCATTCTGATCTGAAAAAGGATGACAGGAAAGTGAGCTATTTGCCTGAAGCAGCTTCTTTCATCAGGGTAAAACTCCTAATGGCACAAAGAGACTGGCAGAATGAGAAGTCTTCAAAAAACACAATAAAGACAACTTTAGCTGCGTATCATCCCAAGCAGCTCTGGCTGCTTACCGCAATGCAAGAGAGAAGATGGCAGTCAAAGAGCCTTTGGACAAGGAAGGTCTGGATCTTGCCAAGCCATTAGTTAGCAAAATCTGGAATAAAAAAAAAAACAACAAAGCACCAAAAACCCCTGCAGTACTCGGAAAAAGATTATGATTACTCCTGAAAGACATCTTGTTTATTTTCAGAGCACAGAAACAGAACACCACCAAAGCAACCTAAAAACCAGCTACTACAAGTCATTTGGCAGAACTAGAAGAGCTTCGGGTTAATAATGGCGTAACAGAGAAACTGCAATCAAATCAGACACTCTACAGTACTTATTTCTCTAGGACCTGTACTCAGACAGTTCCCAGGCCTTTTAAAATCAACAGGCAAGGCTCATAGCTGCCCGGTAATATCATCCTCATTTAAAAGATTAAGAAAAATTACATCAGTTCCTCTCCAGTAGAGAACAGTAAACAAATCAAATACATACAAACCAGCAGCAGCAAAGTTTGGAAAAATATTCAAGAGTCCTTTCTGTCTATCTCATTAGGAGATGATTAAGTAGGATTGAGATTCAGCAATAGTGACAAAAAGGAGACAGTGTACTTTGTCTCAAGTGGGGAGACTCTGCTTTACTGCTTTGAAGAAAAATATGACCACACACAAATCACCAGCGCTCCACAACCAGCTTCTCCCTGACATACCACCAGAGAGACCATAAAAGCTTCCTCAGAACAAGGACCACAGCGCAGGACTGGGGCTTGTTTTGAATAAAGAGAAGACATAACTGTATCAGCTGGAGACTGACCTGCAGCACGGAATAAAATCCCTTCTGGTTTAGATGTCCCATGATGTTTGCGCAGATGTGGTTCATGGCAGGCCTCAGGGTTTCACCTTCCAGGTTAAAACATTGATATTAATAAATCGCCATCACAGCTCCACTCTTTACTTCCTTACACACTATAAAACAGTTTGTCAATTCATAAACCCTTCTTGCACAAAGTCCTTGCCCTCATTTGCAAAACCACTGTTTTAGCAGCATTTCACATCAAGTCTTGTTTAAGGTGTAAGTCTCGTATTTCCTCACGATATTTGCCTATTTGTCTATTTTTCTATGGGTGCTTCCTACAGAACCTCAGAGCTAAAAACATATTCCATTATCCTCTCAACACTTCTGGTGTGTGAGATTTTGGAGCGTTATAAAAACGTTGCAACTGTTGCTGTTCCAAGGGAAATAGCCTGTTTAATCTCAAGAGAATCCCTGCTGTCCATTCCATGCTTTGTGCAAGCACAGAAGCGTGATGAATCTTTGTGGTGAGCATGGGGAAAAGTCAGGGTACAGAAACAGCAATCAGTAGATTTTAATAGCAAGTCCCATATCAGTGGCTTAAAGCATTGAGTTGGATGCACCAACCTTTTCCCCGAAGGATTTTCCAGGTAGAAGTGTCTGTGAAGGTGACAAGCATTGTGAGGTGCAGATTGACCAGTCTGGAGTCTTGTAAGATGTCAGGCTGCGATAACAAATACCAATGTTAATAAATCAAATTAGCTTTGTGCCAAACTACAGAACTGTTAAGTGCAGGGAGACAAAACACTAAGAAAACGTTTCTTACCTTAAGCTGCTTGAGAAATTCACAGCAAAACCACAAAATGTCTTTGATCTGTTTGATCCATAGGAGCGTAAGATCCTTGGAGAGTGCCAGTGAGACATACCACACCTGAGAAAGGCGGGATACAAACGGGAGCAGGGATTAGGGTTTGTGCTACAGACTGGCAGAATACATTACCACGAAGCTTTCTTAGAAAATTACCTCCTGAGGGCCCTACTGAACCCAGCAGCAGAACCAAGTTATTTCTCTCCCCAGAATTCACAGGTCAAAGCCTACCACCCACCACAGAAAGAAACTGCCCTTTAACTCCTACCGCTGTATAAGCTGTATGTAGTAAAAGTATCACAGGAGTACCAAAGAACTTGTCCAAACATTCACCAGGGAATCTCAGCGGTGTTCAGGGGCTTTTGAAAGCTAAATTTCAAACATCGCCAACCTCCATCCCCACACACAGAATTAAAAAAAAAAAACAAGTAACCCTCCCACCCCCAAATTAAAAAAACATCATGCCAACCTTGGGCTCATTCTCAGCGTCCATACTATTAAGAATACACCGGCACAGCTTTTCATATCTCTGGGGGGCAAAAAAAAAAAAAAAAGAAAAGAAAAAGATGGCATTAGTTCTGACTACAGGAAGGTCTGTTCTGGAAAAGCACTAGGATCAGTTCAGCAGAGGGAGCAAGACACCTCCATATCAAAACAACAAATGTTCAAACACATTCCCTACAGACAGTGCCGATGGCTCCTTCCCCATCTACACGTTATGCTACAGCTATGCAGAAGTTTCCCTCCTCGACCACAGAGCTCATCAACAGGAGGAATTTCTCAGCCTTCCCTGCTAAATTGCCTCCCTCAACAGCACAGGCTGAAGCCAGGGAAAGCATCTTCCTGTTGGGGTTCAGCTAGATGAGCTTAATGCTAACGAGCGCAGCAGTGTGTTCCAAACTCCCGACCACCTCGGCTCTCAGCAGAACCTGGCGAGCACATCCAGAACTCCTTAACTATTATTTCAGCCCAGCTGTGTTTGTCACACGCTTGCAAGTTATAAAGCCGTTCTGAGCTACAGAATTGGCTGCTGTGGTTATCCGAACCAAGGGCAGCGTCCAGAAATAGCGTGGAAACAAACACAGCCTAGTCCTCGGCCCAGCAAGGGACTGACTTGCTGCTGGAAGGGAAAGGAGAAGAGGAAGAAGAACAGACATATTTCAGCAGTGCACCCAATTACCATAATGCAGAACTTCAAATGGACGCCAGGCACTTAAAAAATTTGTATGCAATATACACATTTTTTTTGATGCTGCAAATACAGAAAACTCCATTTGCAGTATTTGCACCATCATCTAGAGAAGAGGAATTCGATGGAAGAGATTAAAAAGAAAAGTTACTCACTGCTGCTACAATTTAAATACTCCCTTTCATTTCCCAATTGTTTTTGTTATAATTAGCCCTCACAGTTTCCTGGGGCAAATATAATTTCATAGACACTACAGCAAAGGGCTTCACTCCAAAACCACAAATTCAGGGCACAGTCAGAAAAGCAGTTGCGACACAAACAGCCTGCACTCTACACTCTGCCAGACCAGCTCTTTGTGAGCTCGCCACAATGTACCTGCCAGGGAGACTGATGCAGCTGACAAAATCATAAGGCACTGCTCAATTACTGAAGTTGGCACGGTCATCAGGAAAAACATTCATTAAACTATGCCCTGAATACATTAAACTACGCCCCTGAACCGCTACTAAAAAATTCAAGGGTTCTTCTAATTCACTCCTACAGGCAGATCTCTCCAAGAACTAAAACACAGGTCACATTTCGGAAGCCAAAATATATCACAGGAACCTACGTGATGACTAGATAACTAATTAAACATATTTAACGTGTTAAAATGTCCTCCAAAGAAGAAAAGCATGTCAGAGTAGCCACCTTACCTCTTTGTCCTCTTTATGATTAAATACAAACAGTAGTTTCCTAGCAATTCTGAAGATAGAAAGAGCACTTCTTTTACTTGAGCCAGATTCATTTGCCCCAAAGAAATCCTCCACTTCTCTCCTACCAGAGGGGAAAAAATGAGCATAAAAATCAAGCACACCTCCTCAGATAAGAGCAAAGCGCGGAAGGTAGAATTTCACACACCTTATCTCCCTCTGCAGGCGGCATCGACAGAGAAATCTCCTGATCAAAGCCTGGATCTGGACGACAGCACGCTCCCTCTCTTTCAGCTCCCTCCGCTCCTCCCGAGCCTGGCGTGCTTTGTCGAGGAACTGGGCTTTGGAGGACTGGCTCGCACTGAACATTTTTGTAATCTACCAAAACGCAAATTTAAGGAAACAAAGAACCATTGCAGCAAACACCTGGAGAACTAACTAGTAGCAGAGTGGACAAAACGCACAGGCAAGGGTAATTCTTTACATCACTTCTGAACTGACTGCCTGCATCCAGCATTTTAATAGAGGAAGGAGAGTACCCAACAGCATAGAAAGAAGCGCGTGCAAAATACAGCCTACGCAAAGCCAAAATTACTTGTCAATGGGACTGCAATAAGAAAACACATTGACATCCAAATCACTCCAGCAAAGCCTGCAACCTACTGCATGCAAGAGCAAAAAAAAAAAAAATCAGTGTATTTTCATTGTGTTCCACTCCCTGTGCTCCACCTCCCCTTTCCAGTCTTAGTTGTCTTCATTTTCTTGCTTACAGGTAAGTACAATTCTATAGGCAAGGAAATTAGGGAAAGGGCACAAGTGATGCTTGGAAGCTAATTTATTGCTCAATGAGACAAAATGCTGAGTCCAAAAGAGCTTTATAAATACTTGACAACAAACTCACCTGAGGGCTTACTTCTTCAAAAGAAGTGTGTGATAATCATTTATACGCAAACATGACCCTCATGCACTGGCTTCAGGCAGCTCCTGCACAGATAAGCACATTACCTGCAGGTGATTTGGGGATTTCATCTTTACCTTTCCAGTTCTAAGTCCTTTTGACCAGACTTACCTGCCACTACACCCTCAAGAAAACGTTCAGTCAGAAAAGCTTCAGGAGAGGAAAAGCATCACACCCAAGCGGTGCTGCTGACTACCACAGGCAGCTCCTCACGCCTCAGAGCGGGGAAGCAGCCGCTCGCTGTGTGACAGAAGCGAAGGGCAGCCTGGAGCGCGCCAGGGCCCCGGGAGCCGGTGAGACCTCAGCGGCAACGAGCGCTTCCCCCTTCCCCAGAGCGGGGGCAGGACCCACGAACCACCCC